AAAACAAAAACTGCTTCTGATCATATGACTTTTATTCGGTCCTCCAACACCTGGAACAAATGAAATTCTTGCTACCCTACAGCATAAAAGTAGTGAAGTGAGGATAGTATTCTAAAGAATCAGAGAATTAACTGATAATCAATTAGAACAGAATGAATGGAAATAAAAATCAACAAAGTAATGTAACTGATTACACATCCAGAAACTAAAATGCTGCAACAAACACCAAAACATTAGAGACAGAATTTTCCCACGGGCTCTGAGACACTGACACATGGGGGAGCAGACACAGTGGTGATTTTCCCTGAACAGATTCATTTGTGATCTGTAGGCAGCTCACAGTGCAAGTGAGGATGGCAAGAGAGCTCTCAAAGCTGGGAGTGACAGGATGTCTCACGATACTCTCTCCAACTTTGTAAACTGTTGAATAAGGTGGCGGCCCAGTGACTCAGTGGTCAGCTCTGCTGTCTCACAGCGCCAGAGACCCAGGTTCGATTCCACCCTTGGGCAGCTGTCTGTGTGGAGTTTGCACATTCTCCCAGTGTCTGCACAGGTTTCCTCCGCGTGCTCTGGTTTCCTCCCACAGTCCAAAGAGTGCAGGTTAGGTGGATTGGCCATGCTAAATTGCCCACAGTGTCCAGGGCTGTGTAAGTTAGGTGGATTAGCCATGGGAAATACAAGGTTAGAGGGAAAGGGTAGGGGGATGGGTGGGATGCTCTTAGGAGGGGTAGTGTGCACTTGTTGGGCTGAATGGTCTGTTTCCACACTGTAGGGATTCTATGAAGAACAGAATCTGCAGCCAGGCCCTCGTTGTGGATGGAAAGGCTACAGCTTGTGACTGTTCCTGGGACTGCTGCCTCAAAAACAATGGGCTGTCTCTCAACAATATGCCTTAGATAGCACAGTGAGCCACCTATGACTTGGAGGTAGTAGCTGACTTTTATTTGGCTTAATGTGGAGAAGCAATAAAACAAATGGGCACAATTCTGAAAGGGGGTTCTGCAGGAGAAAGAGAATCCTGGGGTTTGTGTGCACAAATCATTCACAGGGTAGCTACAGAATGAGGTTAAAATGACATCTGGAAGGCAGGAGGGAGGCACAGACAGCAAGCAGGAGGATGGACACGGTGAGATAGGTGCTGGGTGGGATTGAGAAAGGGGGAGCAGGCAGGGAGAGGTGGCAGTGCAGGGTGGGGCGGGGCAAGCGAGACAGCAGGCAAAGAGGAGAAAAATGGCAATCAAGGGAAAGGAGGCACCGGGGGTAGAGAGGCAGCGGGGGGGGAGAAGGAGGGGGGGGGGGAGAAGAAAGAGAGAGGGGCAGCAGGCAGTAGAGTAGAAACAGCAAGTTAGGGAGATGGTGAGCTGAAGGCCAGAATAAGTGAGACAGAAGTCAGTAATTGATTTAAGAGTTTGTAAGAGGTGGTTTAGGCCAGACAATATTTGAGCAAATGGTTCTGCGCAGCTGCTTTTACATAATTAAAGGAAGGTCTGTCCCAAAGACATTCAACACATTAAAAACACAAGTGTGTTTTTAGGGTGTTTGGGAAGAGTTTTGGTTTCCTAGCCCAGACCTCCAAATCATAGAGTTGAGTTTCTCTAGCAATCTCTGTTTCAGATTTCCAGCAAATGGAGTCTTTGGCTTTTATTCCTCCAAATAATAATGCAAGTTTATCTCATGACACATTTTAACCCATGCATGCTTTTAAATACTATCTCTCCCATTCACTTGTGTATGCATCGAGATGGTTTACTTCTAAAATAGTTAATCGGTTTATTACTGATCATACCTCTGCTGTACTGGATTGCTAGTTATTTGCCATTCCTGCCACCATTCTCACCATCTCCACAGGAGGGCAAGGCCTGCTCTGTCTCTCTCTCTCTGGCTTTCACCCACGACCTTAGAGGTATTTTACTTCTGCTTGATTAATGTTTGTTGATGTGAAGACATGTTTGGGCTATTTTCCTTACTATTTATGGCCGTTTTAAGCAGTTTCAAGAGTCTCAAAGTTCATGAAGGGTACACAATAGGGTAGAGTTGAGATGACCACCAGATTAGCCGTGATGTTATTGACTGGCAAAGCAGGCTCAACAGGCCAAGTGGCTTCTTCTTGCTCTGCAGTCTTAGGTTTCAATGGTCTTAAGTGAAGACAACACTTGATAAGCTGAAAAAAATAAATAAGTTGCCTTTTCTTCATTTTCTATTAAATTCAAAAGCACACCTCCTTAAGGCTATTTAGTTGAAACAGAAGATCCTTGTCTTGAACCACAACTGACAAGTCAACTCTTCTGTCAAATGCAAATTTGACAAAAATAGAAGTCATAATAAAAAAAATTAATAGATGTCTAGTTCATGTACGGTAGGGCAGCAGTACTGGTACTCAATGTAAAACTTAGAGGTTTAGAATTCAAATGCCACCATGGTAAATATAGAAATGAATTGAGTAAATCAGATCATTTGCAGACTTGCATGTTATTGCATCAATGGCAATGGGTGACAGTCTTTCATTCTCCTCCATACTTATGGCAGGCACACTCTTACAAATACGTCTGATTCATTCTGCACATGGGTAGAAAGAATGAGGGAATATTGCCGTGAATATTAAACTGTTCCTTTTTTGAAACTGGGTATCACCTTGGTCTACATACATACAGGGCTATGGGATGAGTGCTGGAAAATGGGATTAGAATAGTTAGGTGACTGTTTTTGACTGGTGCTTACCCAATGGGCTGAAGGGCCTTTTTTTCTGTGTTGTAGACTTCTATGACTCTATGGTCATTCTCCTGTGATCCAGCATACACCACACTAAGTAGAAGACTGGAACATAACTTCTAAGTTTTCTATTTGTTCTCCATTTGCTGCGGTATCTTTCAGAGTTATCAGATTCTGGCACTTTTCCCTCTCAACACAACAACTTCTCTATTTTCTTTTGATTACAATCTCTCACATTCAAACAATTTAAAATTTACCTCCTCCTCAATGTCGGCCATTGTAATCCCTGCTACAAAGTACTTGTTAAGTGTTCACACCAATTTTGTTTTCCTCTCCTCTTAAGCATTAACTCTCATTTCATATTTGTTTTTACAAGGCTACTTGTATTTCTGAGGCTCTCTCTTCCTTATCCTCCACTTAACCCATTTCTTGTGTTCTCTTATTATCTCCAAGGTTCCACACATCTGAAATATTAAACAAACTAAAATAAAATTAAGATATTCTGAAATCTGTGAATTAGATTCCATCTTACTAACTCACGCCTCAATTACAAATTGAAAACAATTGAGGCATTGAAGCCATTTTGCTTTTGGATGACAGCAAATATAGAGACAGAGACAATACTAAAATCAGCCACACACTATATCTCAAGTCAACAGAAAATCAGAAATGAAGGATAAAGGTTGACTTATTCAACATGACCCATTTTACACAATGACTCAAAGTCAAAATTACTTCATTTGTTAGACTCAAAATGTTTAAGTGACTGACAGCAAAATATTGTGACCAATTCACAGATCATTGAACCCAAAATGAAGTGTCAAATCCAAACTAAACATGAAATCACAATCACTAACCTCTCAGGTAATCCTCCTCATGACTCCTGCTGGGAAAGATCCCGTCACACTCCCCTCTTGGACCTCGGCCCCACAAAGCAAACTGCTCCCCAATCATCCAATGAGCAACTTCTTGACCAAATGTTCCCAATAAATAATCTCATTTCTTATTCATATCCATACACTTGCTTCCAATCCATTCCTGTTAACCTGTGAGCCACAGATTTGGAGGTTATCCTGACCCACTTAGTTTCCCATGCAAAGCAATTCCCAAAATCATCCCCTCCTCACCCAAACCCAACAGATTTTTTATTTAATCAGTCCTGGGTCACGAGTACCATTGGCTGGTCAGCATTTATTGCCTGTTCTCCGTTGCCCTTAAGGAGGTGGTGGTTAGCTGCCTTCTCGAACTGCTGCAGTCCACATGGTGTAGGTTGAGTCAAAATGACTTGTGGAGGGAACTCCAGGATTTCGACCCAGTGACAGTGAGGGAACAGTGATATATTTCCAAGTCAGGATGGTGAGTGGCTTGAAGGGGAACTTGCCAGTGGTGGCGTTTCCATGTGTCTGCTGCCCTTGTCCTTCTAGATGGAAGTGGTCGTGGGTTTGGAAGGTGCCGTCTAAGGATCTTTGATGAACTTCTGCAGTGTATCTTGTAAATAGTACACACTGCTGCTACTGGGTGTCAGTGGAGGAAGGGGTGGATGTTTGTGGATGTGGTGCCAAAGTGGGCTGCTTTTTCCTGGATTGTGTCAAGCTTCTTGAGTGTTGTTGGAGCTGCACCCATCCAGGCAAGTGGGAGAATTTCATCACACTCCTGAATCGTGCCTTGTAAATGATGGACAGGTTTTGGGGAGTCAGGAGGTGATTTACTCGCTGCAATATTCCTAGCCTCCAACCTGGTCTTGTAGCCCCTGTGTTTATGTGGCAGGTCCAGTTGAGCTTCTGGTCAATGGTAACCCCCAGGATGTTGATAGTGAGGGTTTCAGTGATCATAACACCATTGAATGTCAGGATTGGCCCTCTGCTTTTATGATGAAACTTGCATTGTTTGGAAGAATTGATCAAGCATCTTGTCAGTAAGAGGGATGCCCATTAGCACCTCAAAGTGATTAATGGAAAACAATTGTTCTGATCTTTTTTCCTTGACTTGACTGCAACTTAATTTTAAAGTACAAAACAGTTTTTATTCCTCCAATTGCAACATCCCCTTCAGAGAATCTGAGTGTACCCAAAGTTTTCTTCAAAATTATAAAAATCACATTTCAATATAAATTTACATAGGAAGCAAATGGTTTCGGGAAAATAATACATTCTAACCATGTCACAGCTTTTAATTGCAAAGAAATGTTTTGCATACCAATGAATTACACACATAAAGAAAGGTATGTGGGCTGCATAATAGACGGTAGAGAAGGCTTACAGAGTACTTTATATGTAACTAAGTGTTCTAACCTGGGGCGCAGTACATTTTCTCTATGGCACTACTGTCACAGGAATCGTCAACCTCACTCCATCTGCTAAAATACGTCAGTTGAATGTGTCCTAAAAACAAAATGACATGAGAAATCAAAACAATTTTTTCATACATTTTCTGTAGAAGTGAACTGTAATTATTCTTTTGTAGTTAAAAAACAGTATCATTAAGAATAATGGCATCATTAAGCACTAGAGGCTATTACTGTGGGTGAATTCACTGCACTGGAAATGCAGCTTCAGACAGGAAATGAAGATATTAATTATAGGATAAAACGCCTACACACTTAATTGGAAGCAAGTAAGCAACAGCAAAAGATATCAGGAAAAAAATGCATTTGCTAAAGTTCCTGACCTTTGTCATTCAGCAAGATGTTGTTTGGGTTCAAATCATGACATATGATTCCTTCTCGATGAAGTGCATCAAGGGCTACTGCTATCTCTGCTGCCCAATGTTGAATGGAGCTTTCTGGAATATGAGCATTGGAAGCTTGCACAAAACTTTCTTCCAGCTCTTTAAACAAATGAGATACTAGCTTATCTCCATCTGTTTTTGTGGCAGTGCAGCTTTCCCTCACTGCCTTTCCACTTGTATCTTCAGAATGTGGAGCACTGTCTTGGTCTCTGCCTCTGTATATTTGCTCTTCTTGTAAAATATCTTTTTCACTTGAATGTTTTTCTTGCATAGTTAGGAAAACCTCCTTGTCACCAGAATAAATTGAACTCTCCTCACCCGAATCTGTAACGCAAGGGCTGACACAGCCATGTAGTTGAGGAATACGGCTCATATTCCGACGAATGTTTGCCAAGTCGGAGGTATCACCAGATGCAACAGTCATACACGATGGCACATTTTCAGCATGGGTAATGGCAAACAAGGAACTAAGTTCTTTTTCCTCAACATGCAGGCTGGCATTGATTTGCTTGCATGGGACTTCTTCCTTTCTATTCTGAGGAGGTTGTAATTGCTGCGTTGAGGTATTATCTACATTTGCATCATGACAGCCAGCTTCCTTTGGTAAAATTTGTCCCGGTGTTCCTTGTGAATTCACACAATTATCGATATTGTAATTAATTTGTAAAACGTCAGGTTTTTCATAGAGTCTGTTCTCTGTATTATCAATGTTGGTCACACTGCATTTATCGGTTGAAAGAAACACAACTTCCTCACCGTCCTCGATAGAACCTGGTAAGTTCACTAATAGATCAGGCCTTCCCTCCTCACAGCTGCTGGTCTCTCCACCTGCTGCATCTTGAAAGGAGATAATTGGTACAGAATCACTTGAGGATCCTCGGCTGCAAGTATCTGGGGCCAAAAGGCTAACTGACTCCAGGTGAGATTCACTTGTATCAAAACTGCTCTTGTTGTCAACAACTTCAGGCACCAGATGGAAAATCGGCACAGATTCTGTTTTTATATTTTGGAAATTTTCTGCTAGGTCAAGGCTTAGAAGTTCATTTGCACTATCCTTGCTATCGATTCTGAAAAATTCCATTGGGCTATTTTTGGACAGATTTAGAGACTCAGAGGTTTTCGTTGGGCTAAAATCCTCAGTGTCGACGCCCTCAGTGAAGAACCGAAGCTCTTGGCTTGTAGTAGGAGAACAAAGGCTATCATTACTAAGAAGGGAATGTGACCTTGGGGTCATATCTATGTTCATGGAACTTCCAGGTACATTTTCACTAACTGTTGAAAAGGTTTCAGAAGTTAGACTGTCAGGCTCTTCTTTCTCCTGTTCATATTCATGGCATAAAGTAAGATAGCTACTGGTACATTCTTCAACTACTTCAGAGTCTGATGATGGTGATCCCAAAAGATCAGGAGAATCGTCTTTTGCATCTTCATCAAGGGCACTGCTATCATCCTGTGAACTTGAAGTCACGTTACTCTTCCAAGGGAGGCTCTGCAGCATATTTCCAAAGTCACTCTCCAATGAGCCCACACTGCTGCTCATGCCTTCAGTGCTTGACTGGTCTCCAGTAAAACCACTATGTACAGTGACTGATTTGGGGCCATGTTTGTCCATGTTATGAGATTCAAAACTTTCCTCGGATTTTTTCTGGAGGAATTTACTTAGAAACGACCACAGCTTACCCCCTAAGTTCAAACACATAAAAAACCCAGTAAAAATGTTTTAAGAAATACTCCAGACAATTTATTTTACAGGTTTCTTTTTGATTCGCTAAGCTTCAATGAGTGAGCTACTCACTTACTCATATCACTGAACAAAATATTAAATTAATTCCACATTAATGATCTTAAACATATCATGTGAAGAAATGTTGGCTGTAAATGGTTGTAATGTTTACCATAGGAGGGAAGGCCAATTCATGGGCCTTCTGTGTCAAATCACTTATGAAAAGCATGCCGGGAAATCCTACGGCTGCACATGCAATTGTATATTTTACAGGGCCAAGGTGGTAAGCTCTTCTATTGCTCCACCTTTATCAACTTTCTCAACAAATGGATAACATGACAAGTAACATTTAACATCTACATTTGGAGAAAGTTAATTCTGTTAAGATACAATCTGAATACTTCAATAAATAGCATTGAAATGCTTTTGTAACAATGCATAAGAATCTTTGAATGGATACATCACAGACAAGAGGCCATTTGGCCTCTCAGTTTCTGTGCTGGCCCCCTTAAGAAGCAATTCACTGAGTGACACAATCCTCACCCACATCCCCTTTCCACAGTAGCCCAGCAAATTTAATTCTTTGAGAGAGATTCTGTGTCTTGTGTCCATTACAATCTATTGAAGGAGATTCTCAGTAACATTTCAAAGAATTGTGATGCACCTTTATGCAAATCAATATCATTTATATATGAAATACAAGTGCAAGCAATATGCTTAATTTAATCCTGTTAACGTATCTAAAATATTTTGTTCTACAAAGCCTATTATTATCTGCTTCACTAAGGTACTAAAATCATACTGAGCATCTGCACAAATAATAGAAGCCCAAATGAACATCTAGGGCTATTATCATGTTCAACTGATTGTGTTTACTGTGCCAGATTGGAATGCAGGTACAAACTGGCAGCCTTTACTTAAGAGATAGTAGGAACTGCAGATGCTGGAGAATCTGAGATAACAAGGTGTAGAGCTGGATGAACACAGCAGGCCAAGCAGCAATAGAGGAGCAGGAAGGCTGATGTTTCGGGCCTAGACCCTTCTTCAGACTCCTCTAAGTGTTTGAATTGTAATGATTTAATTACTACTTTAAAACCAAGTGCACATCACAGCTTCCAGCATATCAAACAGTGCCTTTGGAACAAGGTTTTGCTAAAACTAAAAGATGCTATTCCAAATGTCCAGGTCCTCATGAGCAGAGTGCTCATAATGTTTCGTAGTTTTATCACAGGAAACATCGGTTTCCATTTTTTTTTTAAACTTTCATTCATTCCTTCAAAGCCTGTCTCTACATTCCTCTTGAAGAGCAGCACGTATGAGACAAGACAAACATTTTACTGGAAATCATTCAAGATAATAACTAAAGACAATGGACTGGATTTTGCTGGAAAAATAACAGCTTATTAATACGCAAATCAACTCATGGGTTCAGGGGATTAAGAGGTACAGCTAAATAATTACATCATACCATCGTTTGCTCGACACAAACAGCATCTTGCACTTGATATCCCTATTTTTATTTTGAAAACTTTCCACATTTGCAAATTAATTACCAATAGAATTTTCTACAGAAAGTGAAATCTAACCATTAAGAGTAAGCATCTGTTCAACAATATGATAGTTATTAATGTAAGACCAATCAACCTCTGGCTCAAAATCTGAACAATTTAAACATTCAAGTATCAGTTCTTCAGGCAGCAAATTGTTCATTATTTTAGAATGGCTTTTTCTTATATTTCCTTACTTTCTCCTTTCTCCTAACCTTAATTAAATCTGTTTCCCACCTCTATTTCTCTTCCTATACCCAAATTGATTCTAATTTGTTGCCCTTTCCAATGTTTCCTTTTCAGTCTTTCAATCAAAATTGGATTGGATTGGATCCATTGTTGGTTCTACCATTCAATGAGATCCTCGCTGACTCTGTCACCTTTGTCACTGCATTATAAACTCGCACTTGCAACAAGTTACTTTGCAAAACAATTTTAAACTGCAAGATTCTGTCAAAAACTATGAACAGGGCCACCGTTGTTGGCCTACTCCAGCAAATTGCAGACCAAATGCTCTGCAGTACAAGCTAACACTAACATTAGTCTTCCTCCACTATGCAAAGGATTGTTACCAGGAGTTGCAGTGTCTAACACAATTGAACACAACAGACTAGAAAAGAAACATTCAGCTCTAGAGTAACTTAGTAGCCAAATGTTAAATGAGACTAAAATTTAAATCTGCATTTCGTAAACAGTGTTTCACTAATCTGCCAACAGAGTTAGCAAATTGTTGAACTCAGAAACAATTTTACTGACTAGTGGCCAGATCGTAAGGAATGGTACTGCAGAATATAGGTAAATAACATGTAAACACTTCTGTCAAGTGGATATTGATCAATATACTTCTGTATTTGGGGACATCTGCATAATCTAAAAACTGGCTTATTAACTGTAAATGAAGGGTCTAGGCCCGAAACGTCAGCCTCTCTGCTCCTATGATGCTGCTTGGCCTGCTGTGTTCATCCAGCCCTGCACCTTGTTGTCTCGGATTCTCCAGCATCTGCAGTTCCTACTATCTCTGAGAGTCTCTTCTTTACCTTTTGTGTTGGATGTAACAGAATTTCAGGAAAAATTCTTTTGGGGTTACTTAAAGTTTACCAAAAGGTGATAAAATCATTCTACATATTTAAAAAAAGATTAGAACAGACCTTTCTGGGTCATCTGCAAAACTGCTCCAAGGGACAGAAATTTAGATCAACCAGATTCTACTTAGCATTTTAGTCATAGAGTGTATTCATCATTTATAATGACAAAGATTTAATGAGCCTTCTGTGTTAAAAGTTCATTAGAACAACTAATATATGTGCATCTATGCATTTGGAGATGGTATGCTTATATTAACACAACAGTATTTAAGCAGATTATGTGAACTTGCCAAACAAATTCAGGACACTGGAACATCCCCCAAGGTGGCTCATTCATCCTCAGGACTTCAACTCCCTCAGCTGTTCCCTCTTCCTACATCTTCAGCCTTTCAAAATTGAAGCATGACCTCACCTAATCACAATTAACTGGTCACTCTGTCTTTTCTTGGACTATGCAAAATTGGGCTTTCTACTACATAATAAAGGTAAGATGGCAATAAATAGATTGCATCTTGCTCTTGTAGACATGTAGTGCAGCACCTCCAATTTTAAAGATAAATCCTTTTTCATGAGTTTGCATTCTTCTTGCCAAAAAAAAAAGGCATAACCGCAAGAATTAGGCAACTTGAAACTCAGTCGTTCACTTAAGGTGGCTATTCTTGTTATCCAAACTTCACTGCTAGAATCGCATGCATGGACACAGGCAAAGGTAGGGGTAACAGTCTTTGCCCTTGCCTCCAACACCCTCCACCCCATCCCCCATGACCTCTCTCTCACTCTCATTTGGCCTCAGGTCCCTGGTTGATTCTGGGGCACTAGTGCGTGCCTTGTCACCATCTGCCACTGCTCCTGGCGATAATGCCCACACTGAAGAGCTGCAGCTTCTGACTGGCCAGCAGTTCCGGGTGTTCGGTTCCAGGGTCCTTAAACCCAGGGAAGGCCTTCACAGGGACATTTAAGTGGGTAGACCTCTCTCAAAAGAGGCAGCACGAGGCTCCAGCCAGCAGGCCAGACCCCATCACGTGGATTAAATTCTATCCAATGCTTCTGGGAGGAAACAGAATACAAAAGACTAATAAAAATAAGCAGAATTTTAACCCCAAAATTTTAAAGGCTATCCTCTTCTGAAAACAGCCTAGATGTACTATACGGTTATAATTACAATGTACATGCATTTTGATTCCCCCTTAAAACAGGATCAGGAAGGAATTGGAGTAATAGAAAAAGTCAGATCTTACAAGTACCCTATTGAATATGTGTGAGGTAACAAATGACTTGTATTTTAGGTTGTGAAGGCTAAAATAAAAGTTACTATCACAAAAATAATTTTCGTAGTTTGAATGGCAAACATCAATCCCTATCAATTTATGCTGGTTGTGAGTGATATTAATCTACAAGATTCCCAGTATAACTTGCTCAGTGATTTTTCCACAAGGGCAATCAGGTGAAGACCTCCTTACAGGGAGTATCATTTCCCGCTATCAGCAGCTTCCAGGTCATCACTGACCAGAAGCTGAACTGGATGAACCATACAAATGCTGTGGTTGCGAGAACAGATCAGAGGCTAGGACTACTGCAGCAAGTAGCTCACCTGCTGACTCCTCAAAGCCTGTCCGCCATCTATTAGGCAAAAGTCTGGAAGGAAAAAAGGGCAGCAGGTAACACGCAACCATCACTCACTGGGAGTTCCCTTCCAAGCCAATCACCGCCCTGACTTGGGAACATATTACCATGCCCTCAGTGTCACTGGGTCAAAATCGTGGAGCTCCCTCGGGAATGGCATTGTGGGTCTGGTGCTTCAAGAAGGCAGCTCACCACCATATTCCCAAGGGCAACTAGGAATTGGCAGTTAGCAATGCCCACATCCCACAAATAAATAAGAAAAAACGGTGACTGACATACTCTTAAGTAGCACGAGACTGGAGTTCAATTTTTCTACATTATCAAATTTGGGGAGTATTTTGTTGTTTTGTCAGCATGTCTGAATGAGGAATGTGTTTACTTGTGTGAAATAAATCACATTCTGACTCGGCTGTGTTTTTTTTGAGAGTTTGGAGTTTGGCATGATTTTGAGAGCTTAACAGAGGAGAAACTGTATTTTCGTCAACTTATTTTGTTATTAAAACTTTTGACTTAATAGTGCCTGAAATGAAGATGCAGCAAAATGTTTGGTAATGCTAGAGGACAAAAATAAATGTAATATAAATACAAATTCTTTTATCCCTATTTCTTAATATTCCTGGAGCAGCTGAGTACATAGAATTCAAATATCTTTAAAGCAAAGCATTCTAATTTGAGGTTAATCTGTTATTGTGTTCTAACTAAGGGATAGCTAGTGCCTGCATCAATGAACAGAAAGGCATTTTTTGCTCACAGGTGAATGTGATCTTTGCTGTGAAATCGTTCAAAAGAAACGCTGTTCAATCAAAACACTTTTTTAAAAACCAACAACTCTTAAATTGTCACTGGAATTCTGTGAGCAATGCAATGGGCAGGAAACCTTTTACAGATCTTTGAATCAGGACTTATTAAATAACTGAGCAGGAAGGCCATCTGACTGTTTTCCTTCATTCTATTAGCTGATCCAGAAATCAACTCCATTTACCAGCATGTGCTGCATTTCCCTCAATACCCTTAAACTCTAAACAAAAATCAATCAGTCTTCAAAATTCTCGTTGATCCAGTATGTGCAACATCTGGGGAGCAGATTGATCATTTGAAAATCTATTTATTTGCCAATGTGTGCAAACTTACACACACCACCCACAGAACAGAAGGAGGTCTAAGGCACAATATTGGAGTCGTCTCAGATTGCCCTAGTCGGCAAACCCAAATATTGGCAAAAGCAATACATTGGTGATATGTGCTGTAATAATTAGATAATCATGTGGTTTCTTCCACACAAAACAATGGAAGGTTTTTTTTCTGGAAGGAATTTACTAAACTGGATGATAAACTAAAGTGAGTTTATAAATCAACTTAAATTGACAAGACCAACACACACCTTCTGCATACTGAAGCAAAAGAAAAATGGAGTCTTCAGAGATGATCTGTTTCTTCAATTGCACCATGTTGGGCACACAGTGGGGAATGATGGTCTTTCTGTTCCTGCTGCACTCGCTGCTTTTCCTCAGAATCTGACAGAGAACAGAAAGGTCAGTTGTACTCTCTGCTGCTTCAGAACATGCTGCGCTCTGCACTTATCAAATACACTAGTCTATTTGTGTTATTCTGTGCTTCAGAAAACGAGTTAGTCCTCTTCATCTCCTCCTCGGTGCCCCAAGCTCCCCAAGGCCTAACTGATGGCACTTGGCTGCTATCCAGCACACAGAGGATGGCACTGAGCTGCCATTAAAATCAATTACGTGGGTCAATGTTTTTATGAGGCTCTCTCACTCTTAACTAAGTCATCAGAACAATACTGAGCTTATTTTCCTCACAGAATAAATGCAACTGGACACTAGACTTTTAAAAAAAAAATACACAGGCTAATTAAAGGTTAGTGTCAATTTCCAGGCTGTAGGAGCATTTTGAGTTTTGTTAAATTTATGCTGCATTAATACATAGAAGTACTGATGATTACCTTTGTACTTAAAAAGGTTATACAAATGAAAGAAATTATAGCAGCAAGATCACAGCCTAGTTATTAGGGCGTCTGAACAGTAGGTCTGAGGCAGCCTGATAAGTGACTCTGAATTGGCCACGTGAGAACAAGAGAATGGACAGCTGTGGACAACGCTGCAGGACGGGGTACCTGGGCTCATATTTTCATGCCTATGTCTGGGCAGCACGGTGGCTCAGTGGTTAGCACTACTGCCTCACAAAACCAGGGACCCGGGTTCAATTCCACCCACGGGCAACTGTCTGTGTGGAGTTTGCACATCCTCCCGGTGTCTGCGTGGGTTTCCTCCGGGTGCTCCGGTTTCCTCCCACAGTCCAAAGATGTGCAGGCTAGGTGAATTGGCTATGCTAAATTGCCCATAGTGTTCAGGAATGTATTGTTTAGGTGGGTTACAAGGGGGATATTGTGGACTTTTTGGGCCAAAGGGCCTGTTTCCACACCGTAGGGATTCAATGATTCATAAAAAAAGACAGAGGTGGGTGTAAAAATGTGGTAGAATGGACCCGCTTCTGGGATTCTTGATACCCGCAATCTTTGCTGGCATAAGATAATGGTACTGCTAGCAACCTCCAACCTACAAAACCCATCAATCTGGCTCCATTGCAGGGCTAGCCCCTCAATTTTATGGAGTTGAGGCAGCTTCACTATGACATGTTTATGGATCTCAGAAGACTCATGAACCATAGTCTGGATTCAAGAATCTTTTGAAGGCAAGTTCTAAATGTCTTGCCCATTCCTTCTCCGTGCCATCACACGTCTCCCTCACATCTCCAATGGTCCCCATTCGCTCTGTGGCAACTCAATCTCCTTCCACATCCAATCACCCAGTACACATTATGGACACGACCAGTGAAGCTAACAGTAGCAACAGCATGTGTAAAGTTGCTTAGAAAAAAGACAACCACGCATACGGAGGAACAAAATCAGAAATTGCTGGAAAAACTCAGCAGATCTGGCAGCATCAGTGGCGAGAAAGCAGAGTTAATATTTTGAGTCCAGTGACCCTTCTTCAGAACTGTTTATAGCTGGGAAAAGTTGGTATATATGCTCGAGAAGGCATCGGGTGGGCAGGGGCGTAGTCAAAGGAGTGAACGACAGGTCGAGATGGAGCCCAGACAGACAAACACAATTGTCAGCCTGAGAGAATCGATAGCTACTAATGGGCACCACTATTGTGAGCAGGGAAGGCAGTAGATTAGACTGAGTGAAGTTCAGGTAAATTGCTGCTTCGCCTAGAAGGTGTGTCTTGGCCTTGGATAATGAGGAGGGGAGAAAGTAATGGGCGGGTGTTACCCCTTATGAGATTGCAGGGGAATGTGCTTTGCAGTGTGTAGAGTAGTTGGGATTGGAGGAGGAGTGGGCCAAGGTGTTGCTGTAGAAGACTGACAAGGAAGTGGGAGGGGAATATCAGTCTGGTGGTGGCATCCCACTGGAGGTGGCAGAAATGGCAGCTAATGATCCCTTAGATGTGGATGCTAGTGGGAATATGGTAAGTGAGGACCAAGGGGACCCTCTCACTGCTGTGAGAGGGAAGAGAGGGGATGAGGGCCGAAGCGTGGGAGATGGGTCAGACACAGCTAGAGAGCCTGTCAACCACGGTAGTGAGGAATCGTCAGTTGAGGAAGAAGGTGGAAATTTTGCAGGCCCCCTAGTCATCGGAAGTAGCATCATCAGAACAGTGGCCATGGAGATGGAGAAACCGGGAGAACAGAGTCTTTACAAGAAGCGGGGTGCAAGGAGACTGTGGGTAACTGTGGGAGTCGGTGGGTTTGTAATGGTTATTCGTGGCCAGCCTATCCCCGGAAATGGAAACAGCGATGTCGAGGAAGGGAAGGGAGGAGTCAGAGATGGAGTGGGTGAATGTGAGAGTGGGGTGGAAATTGGAAGCAAAATTGATAAATCTTTCCAATTCAGGACAAGTGAAGGAAGCAGCACCAATCATGTCATCGATGTACTAGTGAGAGGAGGCTAGAGTAGGACTGGAACAAGGAATGTGTCACGTACCCCATAATAAAGCGACAGGCATAGCTGAGGCCCATGCAGGTACCCATGGCCATACCTTCGATCTGAGTAAACTGAGAAGAGTAAAGGAGAAGTTGTTCAGGGTGAGGATGAGTTCAGGCAGGCGAAGGGCGGTGATGGAGGATGGGGATAGTTCAGATCCTTTTTCCAGGAAGCCGAGAACCCCGAGACCATCCTGAACGGGGATGGACATGTAAAGGGACTGCACGTCCATGGTGAAGAGGAGGCAGCTGGAGCCTGTGAATCGGAAATTCTGAAATTGACGTAAAGCAGAGGATCGCAGATGTAAGTGAAAAGGGATTGGACAAGGGAAGAATTCACTGGCCTCGAGTTCAGACTCAACAGGATCAAGAGAGCTGCAGGTTATTTACACAGCTGGACATAGTTGTTGGCTTTGCTTCACTGACATCTTTATGTGGTTATAATAATTTTCCTTCTGCTATGATCGCTGTTGTCAATATTTCAGTATTTATCTGCACAAAACTGAGTAGTGTGAAGAATTCAAAGTTTCCATTATTGATATTTTAATGGTCTGTTTGATTGAAAAGAAAGATTGTAGAAGTGTCAAAGACTTACTTTTTCTTTCCTATGCAGTTTAATACATACCGTTGATACTATAGGGTACATTGATTCTGCACACAGGGTTAATGGACATGAAGTCCCTGTGCTGACTCATGCCCTGACATGAGTTGGCATAGGTGGGAATGGGGAGTAGCATGGCAGATGACAGCAAGTGAAGTACGAGGGCTAGAGGGTCTGAAATGTAACCAAGTGACTGAGACAGAGTGTGAGAGCACCGTGGAATGCATTCCAATTAGCCCATTTTGGTAAGCCCCAGTGGCCATCTGCTTCCTGGACGGTGCGCCCAACTCTAACCTGCACCTGTACTCCAGAGTGAAAACAGGTTCTTACGGGACTTCCCTAGACATCAGGATTGAGTCGCAAAGACAAGACATTGAGAGTTTGGGACGAGGAACATGTGTTGTCAGGTTTATAAACAACCAGGGTTCAGTGTAGAAACTTGGGCAGGGGGTGGGGGGGGAAATGAGTACAAGAATGATCTGGGGTTGAAGCAGGAGATGACTGATGGTCAGATCAGGGGTTGAGACTAGGAAGCATGGAAGGTCACTCGCTGTGATCAAGGGTTGTACACATTTGGGGTCTGACACTGGGAGAGTGATTGGTCAGGATCAGGTTTAGCTGGATTACAAAGCAATGTTTGTATGGCTGTGAAGCAATGGTACGGACTAGAATGAGCCCATAGAAAGTACCAAATATTCTGTTTTGATTTGTAAAAGAAAAGAAACGTTTCAGCTCAAAGACTCTGAAGTCTCCATTATCCACACCGTTACTGGGCTGTTGGAAAAACAGTGACGAAGATGCTTCCTGTCCTTTGCCATTTCAGCTACTGGAGAACTCTATTTATCAATCTGTCCAATCATCAGGACAGCCCCAGTACTTTTTGTTTTGGAGCTGATCCTGATGGGGCTATCAACAAGGTCATTACGAATGGCATCAGTGGTGCAGACTATGTACAGGAAAGAGGACAGTCAATTAAGTTTAAGTTCCACCTTCACTTTGCTGCACCTCAGCTGGAAAGCGATGGAAACTTCTTTGGAAGCCCCTCTGCTGGCTTCCAACTCTCTACACTATTTCCAAGACTTTTTATTGAAATTATGGACTTGGGGTGACAGAGGGGGAAGAGACATTAGAAGCCTCTCTCTGGGCTATCCCAAAGACTGTAGCCATTTCCCACTCCCAATCTCACCAGATAAATTCCCTTGTAAAAACCAGGAGATATGCTTAAAAAAAATACAGGGAGCTGACTCCAGAAAGTCTACAGTAGACTTCTAAAAAGTCTACTGTTGGAAATCCAAACTAACAGTACTGCTAGCAGAATGTCAAAGTGGAAAATCTGGGTTGGCTCCTTTAGGGCAGGAGAACCAAAAGATATTGGGTGTGAATGTAATGACATAGAATCAAAATTTTACTTAAGGATACACATAAACCATTGCAAAAGCTCAGAGTGTGGTTTCATTTAGAAACCACTAAAAAATAACTAAAGACTTTGGGAAAACAGTGTGGAAACAGGTTAGAAATCTACTACCATCCAAATAGTTAATCAGCTGAATTTCAAAATAAAAACAACCATCTTGACCAAACAGATAAACAAGTAAACTGATGTACACTAAGCGAACTGACTTATCTTTTCTTCTTCTTACTGACAAATTAGGAACTCACTAAAGTGTAATCTAGAATCAGGAGCCAAACAAAGAATAGGCATAGGGTGAAAATGTGTTTTACTGACACTTGGCACCAAATATTACCCAAACTGAACATAGTGACAAAACCACAACCTATTCCGAAGTTTAAAAGCACACCCCTGCCTGACTAGCCTGAGATTTCCATTGCTGAAACCAGTCATACCTCAGAGATCTTTTTATGAGATTGCCCAATTAACATCAATTGGTGAGGAATTACGGGCAGTTTTGTGCTGCTGAGAACAGGTTGAGTACCCAAACTGTTTTCACTTACGATAACAGCTGCTAAAAAAAAAGACCAAGGAAGAAACAGTTTCAATCCCGTCTGTCCGAGCTGTACTTAAATTGTGTTCTACAGGTGAAAGGCCTTATTCCGCACCCCCCACCCCAAGTTAAAATCCAATTTATGCTCAGCTCAGTCCTATTTTTGTAAGCATATGCTAGCGATAGGTAAACATTTGATAGCTGTTTCCCTGCTCGTCTTGAAAGTGGTACCATGGAATCTTTACACCCATCTGAGGAAACACACAAGGCCTCAGTTTAATGTGTTATTTGAACGACAGCATAACAGCACTCCCTCGCTGTCGCTCTTGTAGATTGAATTCTCCAGTCTCTGGAGGGAGATTTAAAATAACCAACACATCTAACCAACTATGGAATTGTTCCATATGTTCTCATCCAGGCTGTTTAGGAAGCAAATGACTACAGTATGGAAAAGTTGCAATCACTCTGGCCTTACCATCATCAGTCTGAGCACACAAGGTCTCACTAGCAATCAGCTAAAGAAAACACTGGCACCATTCCACTCTTTTCCCTCCAGCTGTACAAATGAGACAGAGGAGAATGTTCAAGGGCCTGTGTAGGAAGGTTCTCAACAGGTGGGGCCCTTGGCATTTTCTTAATTAAGAGCACTCCCCTGCTGCCAGCTTGGTTTTCCAGCCAGCACATGGTGCCCTTTGAACCCAGGAGGTCATCTGTAAAATGGTGGTAGATCCTCAACGGCAGGTCAAGGAGTCAACCAGGTCAGATGTTCCATTCAGTGGGGAATGTCATGTCAATAAGTAGGACCTTTTTTAGGCCCTTCTTACATTCCTCATTCATAGCCAGCAAACGGGAAAACCAGGAATGAAGGTGGTCTTGTATCTTCATATACTTCAGCAGCGACCACCTCTGACAGTAGGTCATCAATCTTTCAGTGCTAACTGGTCTCCTGCTTACCCTCAAGAGACTGTTTGTCATCCTTAATTCACACAGAGCTCTGTATCTCCTCCTCCAGAACTCTCTCTCTCTGGATATCGCGACCAGTATTTCTGTGTTCCCGCTTCCCGATTCATTCCAGGATTTTAAAGAAATGGTTCTCAGGATACACTCAAATGACTTAAAAACAACTAAATGGTAAAGGTGCATTCTTCAGATTGAGCCATAAAATGGAACTTTTAAATTTTAAACAAACCAAAAGAATGGTGGATGCTGAACAAAAAGCAGAAATTGCTGGAAAAGCTTAGCAGGTCTGGCAGCACTTGTGGAGAGAAAAGAGAGTTAATGTTTTGAGTCCAGTAAGACACTTCCTCAGAGCCTTCGGAAGATGGGTCACTCGACCCAAAACATTAACTCAGCTTTCTCTCCACTGATGCTGCCAGACCTGCTGAGTTTTCCCAGCATTTTCCGTGTTTGTTCATTTTATGTTTTAAAAGGATGCTTACTTTTAAAATGAATGTCTCCTGCGTTCTGGAATCCAACACCAGTAAAACCTTTGGAAAGAAATACAAACAGGCGTTAAAGTCAGGACACCATCAACACAAGAGTGTGCAACACGTCTGTGTGCACATTTAGCCCAAAGTTGCATTTTAAATCAAATCAGTTAGAACAGGATGTAATGGCTACAGAAATCACACGCATCCCAACGCTGAAGAAACACCTGAAAAAGGAAAGACAAAACAAAAACTGAACAAAACTGCCTCGTCTTCTCTTTCCTCATAAAACCGGAGAATATTTACAGTGTGCTGACACGAAGAAAGCACATCTGTGAATTTTTTTTTAAAAATTGGCCGTCGGCAAATAGTTTTCCCAAACAGGTGTTTTATAAATGACTGTAAATCAGCCCCTGGAAACACCTCCTCTAAGCCAGGCGAAACCAATGATAATATAATTAGAGCCAGATACATCAGGCGGCTAGATAGTCTCCATCTGTTCAATGTCATATTTAATCACTTTTACTTCTTTAAATCTGCGGCAATTGAGCTTTCATAAACTTACTTACTAAAACATGAATATTTCTGCTGCCAAGTCCTGTGGAATATGCATGGTATACAGCTGGGTTGTATCTGACCCAACTGGTGCTCTATGATGTAAACAGAAATGCAGTATTTTGCATTTTAATTATTTATCTTCCACAGTAAATGCTTCCTACAGAGGGTGGCAAATGTCTTTACAAAACCTGTTAACTTTTTTACTGCAAGTGCCTTCTCTCCTCCCCTCTTCCTGTCATGGCACAAAAATGATTTTTTTAAATTTCACTCATGGGATATGGGAGTTGCTGGCTGGGCCAGCGTTTATTGCCTGTCCCTAGTTGCCCTTGAGAAGGTGTTGGTGAGCTGCCTTCTTGAATCATTGCAGTCCATATTCTGTAGGTTGACTCACATTGCCCTTAGAGAGGCAGTTCCAAGATTTCAACCAAGATTCCTCTCCTCTATCCAACATAACTGCTTGTTACAATAGTCCAATTTTTTTATACGCAGTGCAAAAGACCGTTAATTTTGGGTGCAATATTTTCATAGCTGGTTTCGCAGTTTTAGTTGCCACAGCGTCCGAAGAACAAATCACAACATCAAATTACAAAGACATAATTTCAAAAGATTTTAGGAAGGTACTATCACTAAAGAAAATATTGATCTTAGAATTACAGAAAAAGCCAACATTGATTCAGTTATTTTAGGTGTATTTGGGAGATAGTGGAGGACAACATCTGAAACTGGGATAAGAACGTAAGAAACAGGGCCAGGAATAGGTCATCTGGCCCCTGGGGCCTGCTCCATCATTCAGTAAGATCATGGCTGATTTTTTTTTTTAAATGGACTCAGCTCCACTTATCTGCCCGCTCATCATAATTTTTAATTCCTATACTGTTCAAAAATCTATCTTTGCCTTAAAAACATTCAACGAGGTAGCCTCAACTGCTTCACTGGACAGAGAATTCCATAGATTCACAGCACTTTGGGAGAAGAAGTTGCTCCTCAATTCAGCCCTAAATCTGTTCCCCCTTATTTTGGAGGCTATGCCCCCTAGTTCTATTTTCATCTGCCAGTAGAAACAATCTCCTTGCTTCTATCTTACCTATTTCCTTCATACGAGTGGGTGTCAGTAGCCATACTCATTCACCAAGGCTTCTTCAACAGGCTTGGCATTTTAGGTCTACATTAGGAGCCAGTTTCAGAAATCTGTGTCATTCCCTTGATATCAGCAGCGACACTTAGTTCCCATTTCAATTCATGAGTTACCTCTAGCACTAGAAAGATTAAGAAGCCACAGTTAACCTGGATATGGCTATGATTTAAGTCAATTGCACTGATGAATTTTTAAATGAAGGGTTTTAATTAATCATTAGGCAGAGATCTTCCTTCAGTGAAAATACTAAAAGAATAAAAGGATAGCTGCGGTAAACTGGAAAAGTTCAGTTATGACTAGCATGTGAGAATTTGCCTGTCAAATAAGGCACAGCTTTGATCTTTTGAATCAAAAGATTACAAATTTTGACAATCTTGTTCAGTTCCCTTATCTGTTAATGTTTACTGCTAAAATAATAATTGGCATTATGATAATGATACAGATCAAAGTTTTTTCCACTTCTGTTGATCATTTACTTTTTTTGTGAACATTAAATTTGAATGATATTATCAGTGCACATTGAAATTTAGATATCAATCCAGGCTTTAAAAATCAAAATCAAATGAGGGTACTTTAGCTTTCAGATTATCTTTTGATTGATGAAATTTAACTCATTCTATCTCTAAATTTCATTAATTGTCTTGAACTAATTTTAAACATTTCAAGTTTTGTCCCAAAGTGCAGCTACATAAAATATCCCATGTGAAAAATCAGTGTTATCTTTGATCCAGGCTGTCATCAATGGAAAATACTTCATGTGTCTGAACGGAGCTGTAGATTTTAGGTTGAAATATTTAGACACCTGGGTGTAGAAACTTGATGCCTATCCTTGAAGTGGGATATTTTGAAAATATGTTGGTAAAGCCACTATTTCTGAGATAAGCAATTTCCAGTGACCAACATATCAAACCTGTAGCCTGTTTGACTCATGTTTGTCATAACCATAAACTTTTCCAGTTTATTTCAGCTGTCCTTGTATTCTTTTAGCACTTCCACTGAAAGGAAATCTCTGCAATAACAATTAATTAAACCCCTTCATATTCAAAACTCATTCAAAGCAATTTATTTAACTCACAACCAATGAAGGCAACTGGAACCAAACAATGGGAACACTATACTGGCCTCTATGGCTTCTGCTAAATTGGGTGTACAAACATATACCAGCTGGGCCCTGGTGGCACAGGTACTGTCCCTGCCTCTGAGACATAAGATCCAGGTTCAAGTCCCACCTGCTCCAAAGATACTTCATTTCAGTAAGACAAACAAGGGCAGGACTTATATTGTACGGCCCTAGGGAGTGCTGTCAAACAGAGAGACCTAGAGGTACAGGTACATAGTTCTTTGAATGCTACATCACGGGTAGACAGGGTGGTTAAGAAGACGATTGTCACATTTGTCTTCATTGCTCAGACCACTGAGTACAAGACTTGGGACGTTATGTTGCAGCTGTAGAGGAGTTGGTGAGGCCATTTGTGGAGTACTGTGTACAGTTCTGGCTGCCCTGCTATAGGAAGGATGTTATTAAATTGGACAGGGTGCAGAAAAGATTTACAAGGCTGTTACTGGGACTGAAGACTTTGAATTATAAAGAGGAGGCTGGATAGGCTGGGAAATTGAGCAGTGGCCTTGTAGAGGTTTGCAGAATCGTGAGGGGCATATGCAAGGTGAATACAAAGGTCTTTTATCTAGGGTGGGGGAGTTCAAAACTAGGGGCCATATTTTTAAGGTGAGAGGAGAAAGAATTAAAAGAGATCTGAGAGGGAACTTTTTCCCACAGAGGGTGGTTCTTATGTAGAATGAACTGCCAGGGGAAATGGTAGATGTAGGTAGAGTTACAACATTTAAAAGACATTTAGACTGGTGAGGAAACCAACAAGAGGGAAAAACATATTTGACCTCATCCTTACTAATCTGCCAGCTGCAGTTGCATCTGTCCATGACGGTATCAGTAAGAGTGACCATCGCACAACCCTTGTGGAGACGAAGTCCCGCCTTCACATTGAGAACTACTCCATCGTGTTGTGTGGCACTATCACCGTGCTAAATGGGACAGACTTCACACAGATCCAGCAACTCAAGACTGGGCATCCATGAGGCGCTGTGGGCCATCAACAGCAGCAGAATTGTACTTCAACACAATCTGTTACCTCATGGCCCGGCATATCCCCCACCCAACCATTACCATCAAGCCAGGGGATCAACCCTGGTTCAACGAAAAGTGCAGGAGGGCATGCCAGGAGCAGCACCAGGCATACCTGAAGATGAGGTATCAACCTGGTGAAGCCACCAAACAGGACTACTTGCACGCCAAACAGCGAAAGCAGCAAGTGATAGACAAAGCTAAACGATCCCACAAACAACGGATCAGATCGAAGCTCTGCAGTCCTGCCACATTCAGTCATGAATGGTGGTGGACAATTAAACAACTCACTGGAGGAGGAGGGTCCACAAATATCCCCATCCTCAATGATGGAAGAGCCCAGCACATCAGTGTAAAAGATAACTCTCAAGCTTTCGCAGCAATCTTCAGCCAGAAATGCCAAGTGGATGATCCATCTCGGCCTCCTCCAGTGGTCCCCAGCATTACAGATGCCAGTCTTCAGCCAATTCGATTCACTCCACATGATGTCAAGAAACGGTTGGAGACACTGGATATGGCAAAGGCTACATTCCTGACAACATTCCAGCAATAGTGCTGAAGACTTGCGCTCCAGAACTTGCCGCTCCCCTAGCCAAGCTGTTCCAGTACAGTTACAACACTGGTATCTACCCAACAATGTGGAAAATTGTCCAAGTATGTCCTGCAAACAAAAGCAGGGCAAATCCAACCCGGCCAATTACCGTGCCATCAGTCCCCTCTCGATCATCAGTAAAGTGATGGAAGGTGTCATCAACAGTGCTATCAAGCAGCACCTGCTCAGAAATAACCCGATCAGTGACGCCCAGTTTGGGTTGCACCAGGGCTACTCAGCTCCTGATCTCATTACAGCCTTGGTTCAAACATGGACAAAAGAGCTGAATTGCAGAGGTGAGGCGAGAGTGACAGCCCTTGATATCATGGCTGCATTCGACCGAGTGTGGCATCAAGGAGCCTTGGCAAAACTGGAATCAATTCTGTATCAGGGGCAAACTCTCCGGTGGTTGGAGTCATACCTGACACACAGGAAGATGGTCGTGGTTGTGAGAAGTCAATCATCTCGGCTCCAGGACATCTCTGCAGGAGGTTCTCAGGGTAGTGCCCTAGGCCCAACCATCTTCAGCTGCTTCATCAATGACCATCCTCCATCATAAGGTCAGAAGTGGGGATGTTCGCCGATGATTGCACAGTGTTCAGCACCATTCGTGACTCCTCAGATACTGAAGCAGT